TAGGGTGGACTCCACACTAGAAGTTTCAGCTGTTTGGAGGTGACATGAATTCCAAAGGTCTTCTCCAGTCAGGCTGCGACTGGAGATGACTTCATATTTTGGTGTACATGAAGGTGATGGGCGAGGGCCAGCTCCTGCTTATAGAGGAACATCTTGGGTATCTTCCGCCCTGGTACTCGTATCCACGTCCTCTGTCTGGGCTGCGAAAACTTTGCTGATATGTAACTCGGTCGAAGTGTCTTTTTTTATCGGCTACCTGTATAGTCAGTTCCTTTCTACGCTCTTCCAATCAAGTGGACTTTTCAATTAAGAGTGCTCTGTATCGCGGAAGGATCCTGTGCGAAAGCTCATCTGGTCTGTAACCTATGAATATGATTGCCGGTATTAGCTAGCCTATCGTGGGAGCTTGCCGAAAGAAGAGCGGAACGAAGTCTTGTGCAGCAAGTCGAAGATAGCATGGGCAACAACCTGTTTTGATCAACTGTATTTGAAATGGTAGCAAAAAAATGAGATTCGAATTGAGGCCCAAAGGGAGACATCCGCAGACAACTCTCAAGCGTGTTAATGCGAGGAGGGAGACGCAGACTTACTAACCATCGACTTCAACTGTTGGGAGTTAACCCACAAAAATCAGTTTCTAACTTATCGATAGCCTTTGCATGTGTCTTGCTCGCCCACTTCCTGAGTAATGTGGCAGCCGGAAGATGGATGTCAGATGCGCGGAGGAGCAGCACAGTTTTCCTCATATTCAAAGAGAAGAGAAAGGATGGGCTACGAAGTTCCAGCTACCCTGCCCTCTGTGTAGGAACTAGAGAGCTTTGATACAAAGGGACAAAAGCCAAAGCGGTCAGTGGGCACATTATCGCGATGAATCGAATAAAATGATCTGTGGAACACGATTACCCTCCGCTATCTCTCTATATATAAACCAGAAATTGTATGTTAATTTAAACCGAGATCGCCTGAGATCGCGTGATAGCGCGTGGCGCCGCGGTGCATTTCTAAACTTACCGCGCTGCAAGCCGTCTACGGCGCGCAGTCTCCGGTTGTCCGTCCTGCGATATTTTTCGATCTCCACACAATCGTTGGTCGTATACTCTTCCAACGCTGAACAAACGATGCACCAGTATGTCCCCAGACTGGAATATTCGCACCATAACGCAGTTCGCTACGCGAGTGTCGGAAGCTTCCGCCCTAGTTCCGATCTCCAGGATTTAAGAGTACATGATGTGGTATGTCTTGTGTGACCCGCACCTGAAATTGGTGTCGGGAAAATTTAATTTTAAGGGGCTACACGAGTCGTGCTTGTGGCCAATAAAGTGACTGTACAGTGGACCAGGCGAGCAGAGCACACACAAGCCCACTTAAGCTCCCGGCGCACAATGGCGCGTTGGCCGCCGAGGATAAAAAAACCTCAATAATCGCATACCGGAGCACGACTGAGAGAGAGCGAGCGGTGAAACTGAGAAGGATCAGATGACGAATGTTGAGAGAGAGACACGCCGTAAGCAGTATATTGTGTATCAAACGGTTAGGGTCCCCTGCGATAGTTCATTATGCAAGTCCTCAGCACTAAATAGGGTATCCTATAGAAAATTTCGACGACTGCTTCCCCTAGGGAACAAGTGTAATACATGAAGAAACGGCAAAGTTTTGCACATTTTTGAAAAAATTTTCTGCAAACACACGGACAACTGGACCTCGTACCAAAAAAAAACTCCCCCGGGGGGAAATGCCTCATCTTTGACACGCGAAACCGAGGATCGGGCGCGAGGTTCTGGGGCAAATGCCACTTTCACACGGCGGAAGGAGGGATCGCCGCCGAAGTTCTGGGGCAAATACCCGCACTTCACACCGCCGGAAGTCTCAACCTCCCAAACGTCTCAATCTCGCAAGATAGGGAAATACTCGTCGCAGCCGATAGGATCTAGGGTCGACTCTTGGAGATCTCATTCCTTTCGGTAAATCTCTTACGCTCACAGTGCATATCCCTCTCGGAATCCATTGCGACCCTCTCCTTAGCTTTCAAAAACGACCCCTCGCTGAAGTTTCTTCAGCGAAACTGTGGCGAAGAGCTCACATTTTGTTTCGCACTTTACTCTCTGCAGAAGTGAGCAAAGTGCTGCAACTTCTAGTTGTCCATTGAGATACGGTCATGCCACTCTCCCGCTTTCTGCGAACCATCAATCAAGGAAGTGATAACATGAAAGTGCAAAACGATAAAGAGTCGCGAAGTATTTAGTAAAAAACAATGAGTTGTTCGAATTGAGCTTGAGCCTTTTTTGTGCTGAACGCGTGTGACAGGTGATTCACAACTTGAAATACTCCTTTAGAATGGGGCACATCGTTGTTGGGTAATCCCCGATAGGGGGGGGGTCGTATTTGGGCTAAGAAATTTATTTTGATAGCTGATTTTTCTCGCTTGATGGACGTTGTAAAAGAGGGGTGTTATACCAGGGGAGGTGGTCGTACGGACTCGTCCAAAATCCCCACCCAATGATGTGCCCTGCTATAGAAATAATCAGAGGCAACGCAGTCGCAATATCGATGCGTCGCATTTCGGTGAAAGCAATCTTTGGTAGTTCAAAAGCCACCTACGTGATAAGGAGCGTAGGCGCTTGCAGTGAAATGTGAAGGGAAAGCTGATTCGCCCATGGGTAGAAAGTGCTAAAACGGTCGTCGAGAACCCCTTTCATATTACCTCTTCAGCATCAAATAATCTCCACGAGAAGAATGCCGAAAAAACCGCTTGCTGGGCGCTTCAGTTTGCCGACTCCCTGTAGTGAACCCTATGACCCTACAAGAGACAATGTAGCGTCCATTTCATGCTACTTGATCCGGTAGCATCGCTTCTAGCTGGGGATAGCATCGCTTTTAGCTGGAAGGCAGGCTTCGAAAGGTGAGTCTGGAGGCGGACTCACTGGAAAAGGGAGGTACCACTGGAGCAGTTTTGCACCATGAACTCCTACACCTTACAACTTTCGGCCGTAAAACTGACATATGTTGTTCACTGCGGACCACACTACCCTCCCATACAGTCTTCTGCATTTTCACAGGTCATCGCGGACCGTTCCTTCACCTTAAGCATTTCTTCGCTTGGAATCGGTTGCCTTTTGGTATGGTGACTGGTATGTCGGTAAGTGTTTGGGGGATAGGAATGTGGAAAAGTCTTCCTCAGAGCAATACTCTGACATATGAGAAGGGAAAAAAGACATCCGGCCAACTATCGGATCTAGTGTGTACTCCAAAGTGCTCACCTATTCCATTGAGACGTGTGCAGCGGCTACGCTTAGGTGGAACAGAATTGTTTTGGAACAATTCTCAGCAATTCATCATCCGACGCAAGTTAAGATATTTTAAAAAACTTTTGAGACTTTTGCTGTCTTTTGAGTTTTTTGGAATAAACTTTTGGAGTTTCACATTGTTATTACACATTCAGATATATTTATTCAAATTAGAGAGACTATATGTTCTTGCATACATGTTGTCTTACAGCTTTATAAGGCAGATGTCATAGATATGACTGCACGTACTGCAAGGACACCCAAATACCAGCTCAGGGCGGAGTTCACTTGCCAGAATGCGAAAGTTGTTTGGACAAAGTACACCGTATAATAGGGATTATAGTATTATATCGTCCAGTAGAAAATGTAGCGGGATCCAATGTAATGGCGGTTGTTGAAATAAAAGCGCTTATCATCAGAAAAATAAAAGAAAGAAATAATATGATAGTGAAGACGATCTAGTACATCACCTGACCACACAAACAGTCAACAGTCAGTTGTCACGTAGCTTCTCGACCACTCAGAGCAGGACTGGGGTGTAGGTACAGCCGCTCATATCTCCAAGTCCATGTTTTTCTGGTAAAATTCAGTTTGAGCCTACAGTGCACTTGATCCAGTCCTCATGGATCACTGAAGAATATGGCAGCGAATTTGTATGAAGTTCGAGAATTCTAGAGTTGCATGAACTTTCAGCAGTGCATTTTGTATCTAAATGCCGTTGAAATCTCTCCGAGGACTAAGTTCTTCCCAGAGTATAAAGTATAGAAGTTTAAGCTTCTGAACAATCCCTCCTATGATGTGACCACCTTCTAGAACTTTTCAGATTTGCGGTGGTATTGGAATGCAGTGCAAAGACAGACTTCTTAATCGCGCGAATCAGTCGAGCGGTCCGGTTGCGCGATTCTGTGGAGCGATCCCATTGCGCAATACAGTGGACCGATCCGTCGCCGATTCATTCGAGCGATTGCAAAGTCTGGATCTAGAAGAGTGTTACCAACCAAGGACCTTTTTCCACTGTGCTGCACCACCTCAGCCGAAGGGCAACTGTACGAGCTCGCAGGTCGCTTTATTAGGCCTTATGTCAGACACACCTTCTCTCAAAGACTTTTGCACTTCCATATTTATGAGAAAAAGCAAATTAAACACCACATGTGATAACACCTTTGGAAAAGTTCCCCACCCACCAAATAAATGGTCCAGCTAGCATCACTGATGATCAATAACCACTTTTTCTGTATGTGGTGTGATTGTCATGGTATAAATATGTCAGATGTTGCCATCTTATCATTCCTGCACTCACTTGAGCTTCTGATCTCGGATTATGCCCAATTACGGTACCAATTTGTTTTCTTATCAAGCTATCAAATATAAATTATGAGCGATTAAGCAGCCAATTTGCTGTTTCTGGTGGTCACGACCATCGCATTGCCAGCGGATTTCAATGCTCATACGGCGCCACCGGATCTCAGAGCCTTCGCACCGCTACCAGATCTCGGTGTCAAACAATGGACATGCGATCCTGCAGTGATGGCCAAGTAGGGACCCCTCAGTAACTTCTTTTCAAAATCATTTGCAGACTATCTTCTTTGGTATCTAGTGGAACTGGGGAGGAATTTCTTTCTTAAAGGAATGGTTCGCAATGACCTATGAAAGTGAAAGAGGTTATGTGGGAAGGTAGTGGCCGGAGCGGACCACCCTGCGCCAGTTTTGCGGTGAAGAGTTGTGTACGGTAAATTAAGGCGCAAAGTTGCTTCAGTGGTACATCCCTTTTTCCAGTGACTCCGCCTCCAGACTCCGCCTCCAAAGTCGCCTTCCAGCCAAAAGTAATGCTCCCGGGCAAGTATCATGGAGTGGATGCATTCATAGTCTCTTGTAGACTCATACGGCGCACCGCTGGGAATTAACCGACAAGAATCGTCCCAGTGCGCGGTGGTTCCGGTTTTTTTGCCTCTGGAGGAGGCCTACCGGATGCGTTTTCCAACGTTCCCTTTCGCACTCTCTCTCTCTTCATAGACGGTTCCCTTGGCAAATTTTCATTCCACATTTCTAGAAGATCACTTAGGCTTTTTATCGTGGGCCGCGCATTTAATCAGCTAATGATTTGGTGGCTAAGAACGGTGATGCAGTTTGCAGCCTCCTTTTCTCAGTTTCCCTGGCATTTTTGGCTTATGTTTGAGCAGGAGTTCTTTGCTGCTTTTTGTTGTGCCATCCACGCAGCTTCGCCTTTGTAGGAGCAAAGAGGTTCCGAAGAGTGCCCACAGTGTCCGATTTGCAGATATCAAAGTGATCGCAGCTCTCGGAGATTCACTTACGGTAAGTTCTTCGAAGGTGTTCTCCTTTTCTTCATGCAAGTATTTCTGGTTAAACGATGAAAGGATTTCTGGTTAGAGGATAAAAGAATAAAGTTTTCCTCCGTTGTTCAGTCTCTTTGTGGGATGGGGCACGGCATTCTAACTTGCATTCAGAATCGTAGTGGCTTATTGAAGCGATGTGGCCTATACAATGTCTTGCGGGGCCAGCCGATGTACAAGTCAGTGTTTTATCCTCCCAGACGAATCTGGTGCCAATTTGCCGTTCAATTTGCAAGTGTAGAAGGCTTGGTTGGCCTGGGCGGGAGTCGGTGCTGGATTCGAACCCAGGACCGCTGGATCGCTGAGCGCGCCATTTGTCGCTAGACCACCTCCTGCCCCAATTCTGGATCTTCTGGTTAACCTTAGAAAACATCTCGGCTCTACCGTCAAAATTTGACTTCAGGCTGCTAATGGTGCAAACGCTAGAACGCCGTTGGGGCTTCGCAAGGAGTTTCGTGGACTGGCATTCCAGATTGGAGGCGATATGACGCTTGAGGAGCACATTACCATTCCAAGTACGTCAATGAATTCTCTTCAGAAGCGTCTATTGTTCGTTGCAAAATGTCTCTTCTTCAGCGGCCTTCATCTCTCAAAGAAAGGCAAGTAGCACGATAAATCCTCATGACGCGTAGATTCAATATGCCTAGCAAGAACAGAATTCAGCCCCCTTAAGGGATTTCAAGAGTAACTTGATCAGAGTAGGCAATAAGCCCAACGTGCGCACACGCGAACAAATCCGCACCTGAGCATGATCCACTTGTTCTTCACTCGAAATGTGCATGGTTTTGACATCGCAGTCAGTCAGGGACGCTGTGAGGAGGCTGGGTTGAGCCCTTCTGCGGCTGGTCTTTCTTACTCAGTGGTGATCGTTTAGAATGGTTTGGTGCAGCGAGAAAATAAAAGAGAAGTGGGAGGAACGCACATTGCGGGCTTGGTTTATCTTTTTTAACCCAAACTGATTGCGACGATATCACTGAGAGGTAAACTGGGCATGCAAGTAGGCTTGTGGCTTGGCTCCATCGCGCTGGAGGAGACTTGCCCATAATACCACAACCGCTGCTCGGGCAAGAGTGCCTTTTGAAGGCATGTTGGCAACGATAAATCCGCCGAAAACGACTAAGGATGCAACTACTCCTGGCAGGTCATAGGATTCCCACGACCTGGGCAGGCGCTGCAGCGGTTTCTTTCATAGGGAAGGTGGCTCTTATAAGGCCCCATCAAAGCCAGCAACTATTTCAACATTCCCAAAACGCCCCACCGCGCCCGCGCCGCCACAAAATGCGACGACCGTTCCATTACGACTTCTATTCATTCAAATTGCTAAGCATAATTAATGAAGTCGTTAAGGCATTTGGTGTGAAGCGCGGCTGTGATGGCTTGCATGCATACATGGGCTGGGCACATATGGCAGCCCGCATCTTTGGTAGCGGTGATTGGCAAGATGCCTACGGGAAACTCGTCCGAAATCGATTTTCAAGTCACTGAGAACGGAGGCTTTTTCTTCGCAGGATTTTGACCGTTTGACTCCGTTCTTTCGCCATTTCCCCACTTATACAGTGCCCTATACTAGTATTTAAGGCTAAGTAGGAAAACGCATCTGTACACGAATGTCCCTTTAAGTTTGGTCTGGCTGCGTCTATCGCGCTGAATCGTACTCGCTCTTTTCTTTAGGAAGTACCTTTCATGTTTCGAAGTTGAGCTGAAAAGGAGAACCTTATACAGGAAAACCTTATATGCTTTCTTTCAGTGTTAGACAAACTAGAAAGGTTTTCTACCACTATCCACGGCTAGGTGTAGTAGGACCGGTGCCGATAAGTGGTCAATACCCACCAGAAGTAGTGGTTGGTGCGACCCTTCCGCCCCTATCAAATCCCAGAGTTCCATTAACCCTCTTCATTATTATTCAATTTCGATTTCCCTTGCCGCCTCCCTTTCCTGATTCTTATGTCTTGTGGGTCATTGGAATCCTATCAAGATTTTTACCGTGCTCGTTTATTGTAATTGCATATTTGTACCCATTAGTTAGTTGTACAATTGAACATTTATCATGTTATATTGAACAGCTGTGCTTGTTTCAGACGTACTCAGGAAATTCAATCCTAATTTGTTTGGCTACTCAACTGGAACTGGAAAATGGGATTCATGGGAGGTGAATAGAATCAGTTCCTACAAAGTTTCGGAATTGTGCATTTTCACAATTTAACTGCAAGAGGGATAGTCTCATTCCATGCCAAACTCTCCCGAGATTTAGCACAATACCGCGAGCCCGACAGTGGAGTGCTTTCATTTGTGAAATGATTTCTATCAGGCGTGCGACTTCCCAGCACAGTGCATTTGTGTTCAACGTGTCCTGCTCAGATCGACTTTTGATCACGTCCACAATACTTTTGCGAAATTGAATTATAACAATAGGTTCTAAGTTCCCTTCCTGATTTACGTTCAATTTGGACACGGAATTCTTCACCTAATTTGTAAGCAGTCGCAAATTACAAGTACGTGAGTGGAGGTAAGACTGCGTCTGTGGCACCACCAGAGACCAGCAGCACTTCCAGCGTCCGACAGCGCAGCGCCTGGGAAAGTATAGATATCAATCCAGCAACAGCAACCAGCAGCGCCCAGGAGTGGAGAGTATGGTGGCATAGGAGGGTAGAAGACAGTCGGTAAAGTATGGAGAGATAGGAGGGTAGCTGGTAGAGAGTGTGGGGCGATGGGAGAGTAACAGCTGTCTGCTACCCTCCTATCGCCCCATACTCCCCACTCCATGCACGCTTCTGGTCACTGGTGGTCGCTGGTGAATGCTGGTAGACCGACTTCTATATTCTTCCTAGTTACTGACGCTGTCGGAGGCTGGAAACGCAGATGGTCGCTTGGTGACCTGCGCAAAGTATGAACGCAATCTATAGGCACATGAAGTCGCATGCATTACAGGCACCATTTTGTAGTAGCATAGCAGACAGGCTTGCTAAGCTTATGGTGACATTCGGTGCTGCGAACGATGAGAAATGTCGGTGATACGAAATCATTTATTATTCCTTGTTCAAAAGGTGTCGAAGTTCAACATGGCGGGCAGTGAGGCTAAAGATATGGTAGTGCAAGCACAACGTCTTGTGGATCTAATGCACAAACGCCCTGAGGTAAGTTCAGGATAGATTCTTACATAAAAGAAGCCTCTGTAATAAAGGAGTCCGTCAGTAGTCGCATTTTCTTTTGAGCTGCTAAGGAATCTTCAAAGGATTTCACCTGCGGGACTTTGTTCAATAAGTCCCTTTGCGATGAGCTTGTCGTACGGCTTACTTCTCTGAAAGATGGATGGTCTCTATTCTAATCACCATGAATTACGGGGAACAGTCTTGATCCCAGACGAGAGTCGCACCCGTGCATTTCAGACGTTTCCCCAATCTATTGCATTCCCGCCTGAATCAATCTTTCTACACTCGCCAACTATAGTCCTACTTCAGCTAACCCTTACAGCTGGCGGTGCCATGGAATGACCTCTGTAGGGTCAAACGGCTAGCTCAAAGAGTGAGAGAGAAGAAAATGAACGTCACTCCTGGCTAATGAATTCTTACCTGGTTACTGGAAGCTGTTCAGAAACCCGACTTTGAACTGACTGAGTCCTGGTGCGAATGTCGCGCCCGTGACATATTCGCAATACCCCTTTCGTCGGCTTCGCCGCAACATAGATGTGCTTAGCTGCAGCACTATACATGCGATCGGGCAAGAGCAGAGCATGTCGAGCTTGGTTGGAAATGGGAGGTCGATTGGTAAGTCATTGAAAAAGGTGTGGTTTGCTCACTATATCCTTCATCACATGCCAACATTGAGGACAGGAGGGAAGAAAGGCACAGTTTTGCTCAGGGGAGGCAGCGAATGGTGCTCAGAAGTTTTTACAGGTCACTTTAAAACAGGCCAAAGTTCTGTCAACCATTCAGCCCTTGTAACTGACCCGTAAACTCGTATAACCGAAGTGACTCACTTCTACCAATTACAGGTCACAAAATTTCACAAAAACAAGATCTGTTTGCTAAGATAAGCTAGGAAAAAGTTCCAGCGAAGGTGCAATCCCTGCCAAGCCGAACAGCACCTGAAAAGAGCTTCATTTGGGGTAATACGATGCTGATCGCATGCGAAGCGTAGAACACCCTCTTACGAGTGCGAATACCTTCTTAGTGTTTAGTCCAGGTCAAAGTGCAGCATGGCAAGAAGCAATGCAATTGGGCACATTTTGGTATATAAGCAATACCCCCACCAGAATACCTTGTCATTCCCTCGTGGCCTCTCCAGTCAGAGTCTAGCTTTTATCAGGTGATGAAAGCACAGCTTCAGCCTTGGCTGGCTGGTATCTCAGGCACTTCAAGCTTGATTACTTGACTACCATCAGTAAAAGAGAATACTGCAAACCACTAAAGCTTAACCTAACTTCAAGCTTCGAACTTCAGGTAAACATAACAAACGATTGGAAACTCGTCCTTATTTTCGTTGGTGGGAATGATGTGTGCCGTTACTGTTATGATGCTCATGCGAATCGAACAGTATGTATTTAATTACATTTCTCATCGTTAGAAAACTGCTTCAGCCAGAGAATGCTTTGAAGGATCTTGTAGCACTGCTCACGTTGGTTGTGGGGCGGGGACAGCCAGCCTTTCAGTCTTTCTCATTCGTTGCCCGCTTGCTCTGATGGAAAATGGCGCGCAATAGTGAAGGCGCAATGGTTAATCGTCCCGGCCCATAGGGGTAACATAACTTATAGCGTTAGAAGTACTCAGTATGGCTGATCGATATCATCCACCTTACCCAGAGCGCTCGCGCAACTTTCTGACCCCGTCAGCTTAAGCCTTCTTTATCATCTAAGCCCCGCGCATTTTGCACCAACTGATGCCTTTCACGCCACAGATATTTACACTTCATTATGCGAGAGATTGTCAGGGTGTGGCTGCATACTTCGTTTCACGCTGGTGGCAACAGCGTTTTTGATTAGCAGATCATTTTGCCAATGCTAGACAATATGACAGTTGTTATAAACGGAATATCCTGCGAATAAGCCATCCTAGACCATGCCAACAGAAGTGTGCAGCCACGCTCATTGCGTCGCAGGCATTCGGGTGCGCAACCATTGAAACAGTGGAATAGTCGCGAACCATGACCAGGGATCAAAACGTCAAGCATAGCCAAGTGAAACCTCCATTGCTACGGGGTTGGCTACTCGGCATTAAAACATGCGAGATATTAGGTTGTTCGGAAAGGAATGCTCGTCCGAGCTTGAAAAATTTCAAGATAAATTCAAAAGACAATCTCCATTAGTATCAATGACTTGTTGTCAACATTTATGCAAAAAATGGATTCCTCTTCTGAAGAACTCGACCGGCTGCGACTCAAAGAAGTTGGACACCCAGAGTTGGACCTTTTTCGCGGTTTGCTGTGAATGTTCTCCGGCCAGGGAGTTCATGCATTCGCGCGAACAGATGTAATCGATCGGAGTCCAGGTCCTGATCTGTGTGACGCAGAGAGAGCAGGACTTTCCAGCCCAATTCCTCAATTTTTTTCTAGAGTGATTTTTCGCCACATGTGGATGAGCGTTGTCGTGGATAAATTTTGTCGACGTCGTTTCGACACTTTGAGGAGGCAGTTGTGCGATCCAGTGCGGATCTATGATTGGTGTTATGCGGAGATGGTCCCCTTATACCGTGCTGGACCGATTCCGGAACTTTTCAAAGACCAAACACGGAGCATTCACCTTTTTGCCGCGTATATCAGATTTCGGAGTCCGTTTTGGAGGGGTCACTGGAGTCTAACCACTGTCCTTTTCTCAGCGTGTATATCGAAGCAGACCCTTTTCTCATTTGATGTAATAATAGAGTCGAAAAAACCGCTGTTCTTGGAGCGACGAAGAATTCCGGCCATTGCCACTCGTGTTGCCTTGTTTGCGTCGCTCAGCTGGTGCGGCACCCGCTCTTCCCAACTTTTTTTCCCCAAAAAAAAGCAAAGTAGACATGGACAAAAATATATCAAAAGAAGCACAATAAAAATCTCTTTCTAATAGACAAAACTGTCTCCAAAAATCTTCTTCTATAGGTGGAAGGACGAGGGAAAAAAAGGGACCCCTCGTTCTCACACACAAAATTTTCACCGCACGCATTCCTTTCCCAGACAACCGTAAATAGAATGAAAAACACTGAAAAGCACATTTCCTTCGCCGACAACAATATGCACTTGCTGTCTTTGTGCCGGAAAGGAGAAATGGGATTACTAGAGTTGACATGTTTTTTTTGGAATTCTCTCTTGTAAGGTATTCATAATTATATGCATTTAGTCAGCCCACGGAGCAGACACGTACAAGAGCAATCTCATCAAAGCGATCCAGATTTTGAAGGATAATTTGCCACGGTAGGTATAATGAGCTTTCAAGAATCTGTAGCGCAACAGAAAGTAGGGATACTGCTCAGACATGGGCTCTGGGCTCCTGAAGTGTAGGGATACCACACCTTTTCCCTTGATTGGTGCACTAGTAGGAGGTTAGGCAAAACTAGGAATGTCTGCTAGATGCGATTTAGGCACGCCATCGTCATTCAGTCACATGCATTACTTTGAGTAAATACCGGCACATGGCAGTTCCCAGAAACATCTGTGGACGTTCGAAGGCAAGACCGTGTGAGCCGGCGTTCGTAAAAGAGACATGTCATCACCCCGCTGCTATAGTTCTGCAATCAGCGACGGAGCTCTCTAGAAGCCGCGTTGTACCTTCTTCACTAAGCTTCGTAATCGGGGTAAGTGGCAAGAGCATTCTACAATACTTCCCCGCGCCAGTGGCCGTCGCGTGCGGCGTCGCGCCGGGTATATGGCAAGAGTATCGTAAATCGCCGCAGCAGTGGGCATCGCGTTCCACCCGCTAAAGTCGACGATTTTAGGTGTATTGATCGAGAATAGACGATGTCCGACCAAAAATAGACATATGTCTCCGCGATGTCCTTGTCTACATGAAATCCGCTTCTCCCAAACAAAAGAGTGGGGCAAAGTAAGGAAAGTCGCACCCATTGCCGCGCGCGACACAGCAGCGGCAATCTATGATTCTCTCGCACGCCTATGTCGGAACAGATTTGCTACAGCATCTGCTAGGCGGAACCGCGCGTGTGAAAAACCGTTATCGCGAACCATAAATGCTAAGTATAGGGGAATGTGGGGAAACCTAGAATTTCATAACTGGCAGTAATGGTCCTGGTATTCCACGCTCAGCGCGATATCACTTTGCCTTGCCTAGGAATCACATTGCCAAAAAAGACTAACACATACCTTGATATTTCACAAACACCTTCAGGACCATCGTATCAATAACCGGAATGATGGACATCGAAATCCTTCGGCCTGTCGATAAGGCGCAAGTTGTTCTGCGTTGGATTGCACTAGTAGGTTTTGAACTTTTATTTTCGATTCTTCAAAAAGACATCCCTCAATTAAAATGTGTGGGATCCGGATCGGACTATATTCCCTTAGCGTGCTTCTAGATGCTATTCAAGTTAACATTGTAAAAAAGTGGTCAAAAGCGTGGAAGATGCCCTATATGGACTCTCAGCATTGGACGCTTTTTCGAAGAAATGATACAGTACTACGCGGGGAGAGAACGATAGGGAGGAAGACGAATTCAGCCCCAAGCTCCATAAAAGCGACGCATTCCAGCTCCGCTTATTCATAGAGTTGTGTCGGTGTCGCCCATGTGGGAGGGCGAAAAAGAGCACCGCGACGACGGTTGTGTATTCCCTTACACATACACCCCTCTACCTCACCGAATCCTCTCGCTCTTGCGTCAGGTTCTCTTGTTACCCTCAGATGAAAACTTATTACTTTGACGCTCGTTCGGTGGGGCTACTTCTACCAGTAGCGGTTCTTAGGCTTATGGTGGAAGCACCCTCTTCATCCGCTGTTGGCCGGGGAAGTTTCGAAATTGTGAACTGGAACTACCTCTGGGTGGAAGGAACTCTGAACTCAGACTTTGCAACTGAAGGCGTGATTCAATGCAAACGCATCATCACAATTGCGGAGCCCTCAAACGCGCGCCGCTGTTGTCTATTGATCCAAGCACGCAACGGGATGAGTCGCCAAAATGAGAAGGAGCGTTCGCGTGGACTCCGCCCTACGAAAACGTCGGAAATTGCTATGGAAATTACCTTCAAGGCAGTACAATTCCTCATAATGAACCGTCGAATCATGCCCATAGTCTCATTAGGGGGAAATATCCTCTTGAAGAAGGTTTTGAGTGAATGCTGAATACAATTTGGCTCAACTCAACATTTCAGTTTTTATGAGTGTCACTGTGAGTTTCATTCGAAAACAACCACGCAAGTCTGCAAGGATATCATGGTGAGTAGAATTAATATTATTTTATCCAGTGATAAGCGCTGTTTAGTACCCAATTATACTCGAAATCCCTGAGATCGGGTAGGCGTGGCCGCATGTTTCAACTTAACCTGAAGGTGTCTATGCTTCTGGTGAGATATTTTCATCTTGACACAATTGTTGTCGTGTCTCTGTCCAACACAGAACAAGATGACAGTTGTCCCAGACTGGAATATTCCACGAGTAACCAGTTCCGTGCCATGTTCAAATGCCACGCCTACTCTGGCTCAGGGATAAGGAGTGTACAATCTGCCCATAGTTCAGGAAAGCACACGCACTCACATTGTGAGGTTACAGGAAATTCAAGATATTGGATTTCAGAAAGTTCAGCATGAAATTCAAGACAGCGGCCTTTTCGACTCTTCCGATGACTTTGCTTTGGTCGTGCAGCCTTTCGGAAATGGAATCGATCATCCACCACTGATGGTATGGCTTAAAGAATAATGCTGGGACAAATTTCTAAAACGGACAATAATACCAGTTGTGATAACCCTGTATTTATGGAATCCACTCTCAATTTTTCATGATTGAGTTTTCATTAAATAAGGCTGAGCACGAGGTCGTGCGGCATTTCAAACGACATGTTTCACTGGAAAACAAAAGGCTCTCCAAGCGTTCCTACCCTTGATTACTGAAGTTTTCGTAATGGTTCCGGCAGACAGCTTCACAACGGATTCTCATGAGATTGCACACCGAAAAGGTCCTTAAAGGCAGTAGGCACGACAAATCCCTACGACCGGTAGGATTTATACGCCAGCAGGATGGAGTTCTGCCGGAGGAGGGAAAAACTCACCCATGCTTGCGGCGCGCTTTTTTGACGTCACCGCGGCGGCAGGGCGGAGCGAAAGGGCGATGGCCTGCACCTCCACCACTGTGCTCCGATCAGTAACCGCTGAACAAATAGTGGATGCTTACAGGTGTGTTAGTGGTAGTGGTGAGAGAATTCAGAAAAGTCAACTATCAGGGCGAACTACCTCAGTAAATGGCGAAACTGGCGAAAAGTTCCTTTCGATTGTGAAAACGACGCAAGTAGCTCCTACGCAAGCGTTATACCGTTATAGGGCACAATCCAACTGTTGGCAATTTGCCAAACCTCACCTTAAACGTTTGCGTAAGAGCTGTTTGCGTCGTTTTCACAATCGAAGGAAACTATTTCGCCAGTTTCGCCATTTACTGAAGTAATTCGCCCTGATAGTCGACTTTTCTGTATTCTCTCACCACTACCACTAACTCACCTGTAAGCATCCACTATCTGTTCAATCATCTTTCTCTCTCTTTTTTCCCCTCTTTTTCCTTCCACATAAAAGCGGCTGCTGATTGGAGCACAGTGGCGGAGGCGCAGGCCATCGCCTTTCGCTCCGCCCTGCCGCCGCGGTGACCGTGCCGCAACGCGCATGGGTGAGTTTTTCCCACGGAGCCACAGAATAGCAACTGCTAGCATTTTAGACCAAGTGCCAAACTATCGCGCCAACTGCCAATTTGGCTCAGAAGGGAATAATACATTCTCACCCCCACGACAACACGACGACGATGACTCAGATGTGACTATGATGACGCATTATGAGTTTAGCTTTCCTGGTCTTAGGATACCTTATTCACCAGACTTTGTAGCATCTGGCAATCGCCCTTT